ATTATTAGCTATAACTTTTCTGTCCCAGTAAAGTGTTTTCAAAGACTTATTTTGGTCAGGCCAGCAGAGCTGGATTCCTTGCTAGTTAGCAATTTTAAATAAGGGAGTACTAGCAAAAGTCCCAGCTACGCTGGGCACATTGTCTTTCTTTTTTATATTTTAATAATTTCAAAGAGTTGTAAGCGTAATTGTAATTTTTAACATAATCATAATTATAAGATATATAGTTAAAAATAACATAATCTTTATATTAAAAAATTCTTCTACAATTGATTCTATCACCAACACACATCATAAAATAATAAATATAACTCAGTACATTATATCAAATTTAAAATTCTGATTGTTGAGTGAAGTCTTGGATATTCTATAAATGGAATTTCTCACTGTAGGATCCCCTGGCCAGATGAGCCATTTGTTTAATAACTAATGTTTTCTTTTATTTGAAATCTCTTTATAATTGATAAAAATATTATTATTTGATAATTTATTAAACTCTATAATTTTTCCACTTAATAAAGTATGTGTTACTTAACTACACTCAAATATAATGATGTTAAAAATATATTTAATATATATTTAAACACTCATTTAAAGTGCGTACATCTTTTAAATTTAAAAAAAATAAACATTACTATGGAGTTTCTATTTTCATCATTTCAGACTGAAAGATTTGGGATTGCATGATAATATGAAAGATGTTAGCTTTATGTGTTATAATTTATTTTTAATATTTTATATTAATTATAACATTTTACATATTGATCATTGATATTCCCTTTTTACCTAATATTTATATTCATGGATTTTTATAGTAATATTTAAAACAGAAAGTATTCTATTATATATCATAAATATTATTTCTGTAGTTATTTTTATAAATCAAAAATAAGATTATTATCTCCCTATATTGAATGCTGAAATTTCATGATGATAAATGAATGGTAATGTTGTACTCTATACTGGGGTAGAGTAGGGTTTGATGATATATAATCTTTTCTTTTTGCTAGAACTATAATATATCAGAAAATTCATGAATGGTATATAGAAGATTTCATATAATATAATTAAATTTCTTTATATGGTCCATGTACAAATGTTGTCTCAATCATATTTATACCTTATTACGATTTTCATGTATAAATGCAATGTAGGATAAAGTGGTAGAAAATTTATGATATTTTATAAATCTTAGGCTACATCTTAGCCTATTGACATTTCAATATGTTTAATTTCATTTATATTTATATTATTAATTCACATAATATTACTAATAACAAAATAATTTACACAACAAATATCTAGAAGTATTAACTAATCTATTTTAAATTATAAAATAACATATTTTTTATAGAAACTATTTTTTAATATTCTAATTTAGATATTTTATTTTCTCTATATTATTTTTAGTATTTTTTAAATATTAATTAAACTTATTCTCTAAAATTAGATTATATTTTTATTTCAGAATTTTTTTCCATATTTGTATTCGATATCCTCTCCCTTCAAAATATTTACATTTATACTTTTTAGAAGTACTATATAAAAGTTAAAGTATTATATTTTATATCATTAAGATTCTTTCTGTATGTGTTTTTATACAGAGAGAATGAAAAAATGAATTAAGATTATTACCTTTATGTTTAATTTATTTTTATATAAATTTATAATGAGGTTAAAATCTTTCAATAAAAGGTAAGTTTTTATCCTGATATTATGGTATTGAAGATTTATAATATTGTTTTTACCTAAAACCATCACATATCAGAAAATAAATTTTTTTGTATAGATTGCTTTATTAATAATAAAATTTTAAGTGATGATGAATCACATTTTTTAAGATGGTAGGGTTTTGTATTGTGTCTAATGTTGTCTCAATGATATTTTATTTATCTGTTTTCCTCATATCAATGCAGAAATTATTAGTGTAAATAACAGACTTATTAAACATTTATCAATGAATCTACTCTTATTGAGTTGTTTATGAGTTCAGATATAGTCTCATAGTTATGCAATATCATAAAGTTATAAATCATAAGATTATGATAACTTTTTTACAAGATATAATAGCTGGAGCTATTCAACTCTTCTATTTTAAGTTAAAAAATATATAGTCACTACTTTGTTTACTTTTAACTTTATAGTATATCTTTTACTGTGTGTACTATATACCATCTTTGTAATAAAAATTATGTTTAATTTTAATAATCTAGTATTGAATTAATCAGATACTCTTTGTTCTATAAAGTTTTTATTCTAGAAGAAGGAGTATTTCATTGATTCGATACTATATTTTTAAACATATTGAACATTTTTTTTAAAAAAAAAAAATCGTATATAGTAGACATAATAAAAAAATTCATCAATGAATACCATCTTTGTACAACTAAATGTTTAAAATCATTTGAACCTAGTGAATTATATCATCTTGGATCAGTTGTCCAATTGCCTTTTATATGTATTACAATATCACTTATGCCTCCTTGAATATTTGTTGAATTTAACTCTTCATTTTCCATTTCTTACCATTTTTTGATTGCATTAGCATAGGGATTTATCTCTTTTAATAATTTATCAATACCACCCATTAGTTGCTCATTGCATTTATAATTGTGTTTGTTTTTTGATTTTTATTTCCGTTGCTTGAGCAGTATTCTAAAATATTTCATTGTGAATAAGCTGCATATTTTTCATTATTTGGTTTGAAACTTCCAATATTATATTAAATTTATATATATAGATTAAAATAATTAGGGCCACCTACTGCAATGATCAATGAGGCTCTTTCATATATTGGATGATTAGCAAAAGATCTCGATTCAACTTTGGTCTTTATTTATATATCAATAAGCGTTTTACAATTCTTTCTTTACATTTCAACTCCCTCGTTTTCCTTTTCGTTCCAACTTGTTTTCATTTTGCAGTTGTTCTTGGCAGCCACCAAAAATGTTTTCCAGTAGACATAAGAGATGTTGATGTCCAGAGAATACAAAAAAGAAAAACGCAAGCAAATGAAGTTAGTAATGGTGAAAAGGAAATAGGAACTTACTGCTGGCATTTTCTTTAAAGCCGCACGAACTTTCTTCATGCCCAAGTCGTTCTCAAGGCCGGGAGCACTCCTTTTTACACCACTCCTTCACAGCTTGTCGATCTTAATGCTGCAATTTCTGACAAATCCATGGGTGTTGCCAGTTGGCATAACATCTCCGGTTTTACATATTCTGCAAGCATTGTTTTTGCCCATATTAGTTTCCAAACAAATCTCCACATTAGTGGTAAAAGGTATGAGTTCTTGATTTCCAGTAGCATTTGCTACAATTACATCCCCTTCTAAAATGGCATCCACAGTTTTCTGCTTTCTTTTGCGGCCCATTTCCAGCTAGTTATTTCAATTTGTATAATAGGCTAGTAGATTTCAGCAAAGTAGAATAGTTTTGGTAGGTGTTAGTTCTGTTTAGATCGTCATGCAACGATGCAGTTTCTTATCGATAAGTTTTTTTGGTTTTTTTTTCTGTTTTGTATTCAAGCAAACATAGCAATAGCACAATAGAATAGAGATTCTTGTATGTGCAGGTCACTCTTCTAAACTGTTTTCTGCCTGCACGCTTCCTTTTGAATGTTTTAAGCGTTTTTAGGATAGTGATCTGGAACGACATATAGACATTTTGTTTTTTACCTAAAACCTTTACGAGAGAGAGCAAAACACCAAACACGGAAATCATTTCTATGCCCTGAGTTAATGTACAAATATCATGTACCGAATCAAACCAAGCTCATGGCTTCAAAGTTGTGTCTATAAACACATACATATGACATTGCTGCCATTCTTGACAATATGGTTGCCGTTTTTCTGTGAAGAGATGCTGAGGGAGAAAGATCCATCAGAACCAAAGCTATCCATGCGTAAGGAACTTAAGAGAAGGTGGCAAAAGTATCGTGCCACGCCATTCGTGCTAGACAAGCAACAGGATGTGGACAAGAGCTTGGTTTCATCTCACAGAGGTATCTGCGGAAAACCTTGGACCTCTCCAATTTTTCCCTGTCAAACTCATGCTACAGAGTTTCAAGCTCACGTTCAGCCACTAGGCGAGAAGATGTTCGAGGCTAGAGAAAGCGACGTATTCAACTACGGATACACGCTAGAAGCCTCCATCGATGGGAAACTCTTCTGTGGGCTGCTCTTCTTGTACAAGCCTGGCTTTGCTACATGGCAAGGTTTGTTTCGTTGGAAACAACAGGACGTCCAAAAGGCCATAGTAAAGGCCAAGTTGTGTGTATGCAGCTGCATTGGAGGATTTGGTTGGGTCGCTGACGCACGGAAAGTTTGACAGACTTTGTGGTGTTGTCCGAGTCTTCTTTTGGACAGGGCACGGGCATTTTTCCTCGAGTGGTTACAGTCGTTGGTGTAAATATTGCCTTCCTTTCTTAAGGCGTTATTCCATAATTATTTGGTCTTTTAAATATAGCATATTGGCGAGAAGATTGGTGAGGAGAAAGCAGCCAGAATCATCAAGCAGCTGGTAAAGACCTTCAAATAGATTTATTTGAGGGGCGTGGTTCACCAGGATCTCAAGCTCGACAACATTCTTTCCAAGCTAAACATGCACAACAAAGTGGTGATCAACACCTTTAGGAGATATCACCACAGTGAAGTACATGGCAGTTGAGGTGGTGGAGAACAAGGATTGGAGCTCTACATGGCAGCCTACTCTACTTTCTTACAGACAAAGCCATGAACTGTTTTTAAAAAAGCCATTTGTGAAGGAATAAGACAGCATTAAATAAACTGTTGTGATAAAAGGGAAATACATGTCATCCAGAGCTTCAAGCTCTTCGTTACATCCCTCATAGAAGAATAATATGCCTCGCTCTGCGTCCACAGAATCTCCTGCAAGGGAGAAACGTGGAGAAGGCCCGGGACCAGAGGGATTCGAAGTCGCCCAAACACCAGTCGCTACAAAATACGTAAAAGCCCCATGAGAGACCAACAGGAAACAAATCTACCTACAAGCGAGATACTTTCCATGGCTGATTGTTGTGTGCCCAGTTCCTGGCATCAGCTCCGCACCAGTCGTCTTTACCTCCCGCCATGCCATTGTTTCTGGATTACCACTGTCCTCGCCACCCATGACAACGAAACAGTTCTTATAGGAAGAGCAGGTATGGCTATCCCGAGGAATAGGTGAGACTCCAGTGGTAGAAATCTTCTTCCAGACAAAAGTATCTACAGGAAAAAAAAAAAGTTTAGAAGAAAACAAGGAAAGATAACAGGATATTACTCATGTTCAAAACATGGAGGTCGTTGTAGTACTCCTCCTCTGAGGGATCGCTGGATTTCCCACATCCCCCAAACACGAACAGGTTGTCACCGATGAGAGACGCGCTATGTCCTTCTCTTGGAGCAGGAACATCACCAAAAACGTCGGGTTTCCCCCAGGTGTTGGTAGCTGCATCAGATGATAAGAACGAGAAAAAAAATGATAGAACTCAGGAGCTTACCATTATCCAAAACAAAGAGATCGTCAAGTGTGCTGGTTCCATTGGTACCACCAAACACATAGAGCTTAGACCCAACGGCCATGGAGCTGTGGCTGTCCCGAGGAGAAGGGTGCATTCCTTTCATCACAGGAGAGAGAGAGAGAGAGAGAGTACCTTCCCGCAAGTGATGATCAACGCTGTCTCCTCGTGGTCACGCGCCCTAAAAGACATTTGACATTTTTTATGATCCCAAAAGTCACGACTTTACATTGTTTAATCTCAGCCGTTAGATTTTGGCATATGCCGAGAATAAGCATCCCCAGCATATGCTATTATTATACCGGCTCTTTTGTTTAACAATTCCATCCATGAAAAAACTCAATTAGCTTCTCAACAAATCTGAAGAATAATAAACCCACTATGGAGGAAATCTCTTTAAACTTTTTTCCATGATTCTTTAAATATTCCATTCTATAGTATTATGATCTATTTTTTATATTATTATTATAGTTTAAGTCAAGTTCTATATAAAAATTTATATGATTTTCTTAAATGTGCTCATCGCTGCCGTTGATATATCGCAGGGATCCCAGCTCCACTGGGTGTAGTAGAAAATATTTTCAATTTGAAAAGATGTATTTGTAACTGTAATTGTTTAAACTATTTCTTTTTCTTAATTTGTTTTAGTATGTTTATCCTTCTATATTTAAAAGAGCAAGGGCGACATATTTAATCAAGATTCTTTTCGAGCTTAATGGTGGAGATAAGACATGTGGGACAAACAGTTGAGAGTTGAACGTTTTTATTTTTTTTGGGTAAACCTGTTTTTTCGAAGCATTTTCAAACCTGTTTTTTCGCTTATGTAATTCAACATTTCACCGCAGTTGCACGCCATGAGGTTCACTGCTCTCATCAACCAGGTATGAGATGAGTTTTTCAGATCTATCTTGTGGTGATGTTTCTTCTTTTTTTGCTGCAAGAAATGCCATGTAAAGAACAAGGACTTGGATGGTATCTATGTGAGCAAGAAGGGGATGATCTCAGTGGAAGAGTAGCTTATGGTATGAGGACGTGTTTTCTCTTATGTTTCATTTTTTTCTCTTACAAGTGTGTGTAATAAAAGGCATAAACCTTACAGTGAGGGACTTCTACAGCAAGTTCACGGAAGGCACAATAAAGATCGTCATTAAATCCTATCTGGGACGAACAACACCTTTTATCAGCAACCTTTCCTTTGAAACTTGTAAGTAAAAAAAGCACCATTCTTGGTTGGGAGTAAAACTATTGATTTTCTTCAGCAGGTGTTTGATAGAGATACGTTCTCAGAGGATGATACAATGGGCGATGTCTCTGTCGACCTTCAACCACTTTATGCTGCTGTGAAAGCGCAAGAAGCAATGGGTGACGAACTTGGTAATGTGCAGGTTGGAAAAAGGGTGGCTAAAAGTGACAATGATCTGTCGTGTGATAGCATGAGTCTCCATCTACAAGTCTCAAGCTTCTGCTCTTGAAAAGTGTGCTGCCAAGGACGTGAAGGTAACATATATACGAAACGTATGAGCATTTAAAATTGGAAGCTGTGACAGGTTCTGGTGGTTGCCAACCCTGCCAAAACTAATGCGTTGATCCTCAAGAATTTTGCCCCTTCCATTCCTGACAAGAACATCACTTGCTTGACAAAGCTGGACCACAACCGGGTGCTGGGGCAGATCTCTAAAAGTACTTGGACGTGAAGAATGTGATTATCTGGGGAAAGCACTCATCAACACTACCTGGAAGTTAGTCATGCTGTGGTGATTACTCCCAAGGGAGAGAAGCCTGTTCATGAAGTTGTCAACAAGGACGAATGGCAAGTTTCTTTCTTTCTTTCTTTTGAGTCTATATTTGTGTTGATTAACATTCCAGGCTGAACGGGCCCTTCGTTTCCACCATCCAGCATTGTGGTGCTGCAATTATCAAAGAAAGGAAGCTTTCTAGTGCACTGTCTACTGCAAGTTCTGCCTATGACCATATCTGTGACTGGGTGCTGGGAATTCCCAAGGTTCGAAGTGAAAATTTTTTCTCTGGCTCTATCGCTAACTCCTTTGTAAATTGCAGGGCACCTGGGTGTCAATGGGGGTCCTTTCTGACGGCTCTTATAAAGTTCCCAAGGGAGTAATCTACTCTTTACTGACCTGTGCGAACTGGGAGTGGTCTATTGTCCAAGGTACTCACTACACAATTCTTTGATCTGTCTTAAACAGTGTATTTTTCAGGCTTGTCAATTGATGGTTTCTCCAGAACGTAATGGGAATTCAAATATCTTGCAAGTCAGGCTTCACATCTAGTGGTGCCTCGCCAACATGGAAGCTCTACTAACAGTTTAAGGTAAAAGCTCAAACTATCACAACCAGAAATACCTGACCATCCAGCTCACCCACTCCCTCACATGAACATGGTTGAGCACACTCATGGATATATGCATCACGCAACAATGACAAGTCTTTTTCCTGGCAAGAGTTTTCTTACAGATATGGAAGGTACAAAAACAATGTGGGTTTCAGCAACATTAGCCTACACTTGATTAAATACCTAGTGAGAAAGCTGGCTGGAGCAAACTCAAGAATTTTATCACTCCTCCAGGCAATGGATCTAACAGTGCAAGCTTCATCATTTTCAGAGACATGGGAAAGGCCGAACGAGACAATAGCTTGGAACACTACATACAAGTAAATACAGACTTCTTGGAAATTGTACCTTAGCAAGTATATATTGCAGCCTGGAGAGCCCAAACCAGCACCAAGTCTCTCGATGTCTAGAAAGCCATTTGTGGAGAGTGAAGAACACAACCATCACATCTTTGATTGCATGGTGTCCAGGAGCATTACATCATGTATACTCATATCTATATTGTACCTAAATATACCAATACATTTAGGACAAATCCTCAAGTTAGATGATTCCATAACAGTTTTATAGTCGTTCTCCTGGAGCTGGGTTATCATTGAAAGAGCTATATAGAAATTCTAGGCTTGCTGGAGAATACAGTATTTTTCTTGTTGTCTCAGTAATGGATTTGCTTGGTAAAGACAGTAAACTATGGTTGGTACTGCAAAGATGTACCTTCTTCAAAATATTTTTTATTCACTATCTACCAAGCCATGGATTGACATTGGCTAAATAATTTTCATTCTCTACTTCATTAATTAAAGAAAATATTTTTTATAGAATGTATTGCCATTTATATATAAATATGTACGAGCTGTGGAAAGCAATGGGTGTCGATGCTAGCATCCTGCCAGATTGTGAGAACTGAGGAGATGAATGGTTAGTTTAGAGACGTTAGTTCTCTCCTTTGTCCACGAACTCTTCTAGTTGGCACTTGAGCTCCTCGAGTTCCTTTTCGTTCAAACGATAGGGGGGACGAACCACCGCCTCAGCACCCTCGACCAGCTCAATTTTATGTTCTATCAGTCGTGCGGGGGGACAACCCCGTTAGTAGCTCCTCTGGCATGGTATCCTAGAATTGGTCTAACACCCGCTGGATCACTAAAGGTAATTCTTCTATTCCCGTCTTTTTGTCACTCTTCACCGAGAGTAAGCACAAAAATGCTATCTTGGTTCCTTTAGTGAGTTGTCCTCTCGTGGACACCAGGTTTAAGCAGGAATCTTTGGCCTTATATTGCTCTACCTTTAAATCCTAGGCCTCCACCCTGGATCTTTTTCCTTGGGCATTTGCTAGTACCACAAGGTTCCTACCTTGTCCATGTAGGGCTACCATGAACCGATTGAACCAATCCATCCCAAAGATCACGTCAAATCCCGCCATGTTCAACACGGTGAAATCCATATCTACTTTCCATGTCCCTACTTCGACTCTTGCTTGTCGAAGTACCTCATCGGTGCTTTGGCTGCCTTGAACAAACTCTATAGTCCTTGGTTCACCAAGCCGCTACACCGTTAATCTGGCTTGCAGGACTATGTCTGTAGCCACAAAATTATTCGAAGCACCCATGTCAATAAGGATCTTAATAAAGCTACCTTCGAGCTTCCTTCGGAGGGCTAGTAGATGTCGCGAACGACTCTCTACCAAAGTTGCTCGTGTAATGAGTAACTTTGAGCTAGGGACTGGATCATATACCTCAATTTAGATTTCACCCGACTTAATGGCCATATTGGCTCTAGCCTTCTTCAGGTAGGGACATTCCCTCGAGAAGTGTCCTGCTTCACCGCAGTTGTAGCATACGTTATTTCCCACGCTGCTAGCAGACTTGACCTTCTTATCCGTGGGTTTGTCTCTTTTTGCTTGACTCCCCCACGTACTCGCTTGCTAGCCACCGGATTTGCCTTTCCAGAACCCCGATGACTCATTCTTAGATAAACTCTTCTTGAATTTCCCTTTGCTATACGTTCCCCTTGGTTTGGCCCTTTTGCTAAATGTGGACCCTAACCTCGTCGTGTTCCCCTTTCGCAGGTTATTGTTGAAATACACCTTGATAGCTGCATCCAACGCTTCTTTGTAATTGGTCGGGTTCCAACGCATCACCTCACCGCGAACCCAGGTTTGATATAAAGGCATGGAATGCATCCATATCACCCATATCCGTGACCAGTATCCTCTTTGCCATAAATCCATTCACATACTTTTGAATAGTTCCGATCTGCTTCAGCCTACTTAGCTCATCCCTTAGGTGCAGAGTAGCATTCAGAGGAACGTATGTCGCACAAATCCTCGCCTTCATCATTTCCCAAGTGGCCACCGGTCCTTCGTTGGCCTCCGTCGTTCTCCACCAAGACTTGGCATTATCTGCCAAATATGGTTTTGTACATGGGACCTTCTCCGAGCTCGGTAATTGCAACGCTCAGAAGTAGTCCTTCATATCGTAAAACCAATCCTCCACCACCTTATAGTCGTTCACTCCCTTGAAAACCGGTGGGGGCTTTGATTTGTACTTGGGAACTACTTGAGGGATTGATTCCACTTCGGTCTGTTCGACCTTGTTTGGCTCTGTTGTTCGTGTAGGGAGTAGCTGAAACCAAGTAAAACCAGGTAGGAGATGGTACCACAGGCAAGAACCTTGGCGAGGAACTTAGCAAAAGCCAAGGCAATGTTGGACGGATAGTCGAGGTAAACTAGCAAATTTGAAAGGAAAAATTTGTGGCTTA